CTTGCCAAACAAAGGGTCTTCTAGTAGCCACTCTCTTGACTCAGGATAGCACTACCTCTTCAAATCACTTGATGTGGACGTCGGCGTTGAGTCTGAGGCCCTGTAGGAAGATGATATATAATACTAATTTTATTATGAAAATTCTTCAGTATCAGTTAATATATTGATATAACAGAATAAGTCAATTGAAAATAGATTAAATCTATCTTACACCAATATCAATTTAGGTTCAGAATATTTTATCTCGTGAAGCAAGCAATTGGTTGTATAGGATATTATACATTACACTTATATAGTATAGTATTTTGCAGAACAGTATTTCGATATTAAATAAATAGGTATCATTTTATTGAACTGTCTAGAAATGTAAAAAGATCATTTTAGGGCGATTCAAACTGACTTTTAATGGTTCAAAATTTTCGTTTTCATTCCTTATAATCAAATCTGTATTTTATATCAAACCTTGTACACAACTGACACGAATGCTATTTTAACTAAAACAATATTTTTCCTCTAATAAAAAGATAAAAATTTCGCAGATATATTGAAAAAAAACATAGTCTTAGCGACTACTTCGTACCCTGTCTTGGAACATAAATAGTTGTCTTTTAATCACTAGTGACAAATGTTCAGTAATCTAAGGCTTATATGAACCAATGATTTCTCATAGTTCATTTTATTATTGAGCTAGAAATGTTGAGACAATATAGTATTAAGTATTAGTATTAAGTATTAGTATTAATTATTAGTATTAAGTATTAAGTATTAGTATTATAATGTTGTGACAATATAGTATTAAGCTTTATTCTTTCCGGTAGCTTTTATTACAGAAAATGTTAATAAACAGCACAAGTCAAATCGCTGAATGGAAGAATTCTATAAAAGTTATGAAAGAAAGTGGAATTCAACGCTCGACCAAAGAAAAATGTATATATTAATATGAAGACAAAATGAAAAAAAATCCGAATACTTTCTTAATTCTTCTGAACTATCTATTTACCGAAAGACATTTAAAATCCCTTGCTTTTGTTCATGGAAAGAAAGAGGTTACATTTAAAAAGTCAGCTATTATATTGAAAATATTATTAATTCTACTACATCACTTTAAAATAATATGACGGACACAGAAACGTATGATCTTCCAATGGTGCAGGAATTTACTAAATATATTCCCAACGTAAAACCCTAAGATTGATTTTTTTTCAATGAAACATTGTGTTTTCCATAAAAAATGAAGCCAAAAAATTGTCGTCGAAATGAGTTTCCCAGAAATCCTCATCTTGTTCTAAGAACCTTCACAAATAAAAATTTTTTTAGAACTTTAAAAAAAGAGAAAAAACTTTTTTTAAAAATACAAAATGGTCTTCGTAGTAATTCTCATCTTCTCATCTTTATCTTGTTTGATTTTGGCACATTGTTTTTAGGGTATTTATAAGAATACCCGGTTTCAAGAATTCAATATAATGTACCATTTACGGTGACATTTACGGGGGTGCGTCAAAACATCTATAGCATAATGATGAAAAAAAGAAAGGAATTATTTTGCATAATAATATTTCAATGGTCTTCAATATAATTTCACTTACAATAAATGTTTAAGTTGAGTTGAGTTTTTATATCCATATCTTGAAAATAACGTGTAGCGGCCTAGATCATCAACAATCTCTTTAGAGAATATGTAACTCACAGCAGATTCATGATATCCATTTCTGCAAAAATATATCCGTAACAGTTGTGCCTGACAGTGATTGGCTAAATGTTGGTTTCACAGATACAAGGATGGAATTCAGGTTACAACTCATCTGAGTCGTCGTTTACTTACTAAATATTCCTTGATTTACACCGGTAGATATTAATTTAAAAATTATAAATGCACAGAGACATTTGCTGACATATGTATACTAAATAAATAACGATTAATTTAATATAAAATGTAGTTGGATTAAAAAAAAAATAATTGCTTAGATGTTTGTATGTGTTATAAACACGCAGACACACAGAAACAGACACACAGACACACAGAAACAGACACACACAGACACATACACACACGAACACACACACACACACACACACACACACACACATATATATATATATATATATATATATATATATATATATATATATATATATATATATGTATGTATGTGTGTATATCCAAAGGATCCTGTTTTGTGAACAGATATGTTTTTAAAATGTTGAATTTAAGGTCAATCTGCTGGAAGATCTAAATATTCTACTAAAAGAAAAGTATGCCACCGAACGTTAAAAGGATGTCTGTAAAAGTGATTACCAATTTTTGGAAGTTTGTTTTGCTGAGAACTTTTCAGCACAAATATATATATATATATATATATATATATATATATATATATATATATATATATGTGTGTGTGTGTGTGTGTGAATCATTCATACATAAAACAGATATAGAAGTTAATGATTTAAATGGCGAGAATACATCTTCACAAACAAATTTAATAAAGTACATTAACCTCGAACCTGTAGATGAATGTTATGATCCCTGTTTATATATTCCAGTTGCATAAGGTCTTTTTTTAGTTTTTAAAATATTTTGCATTACATCTATATTTTCGTGGTCTTATTATCACCTAGATGTAAAAACCAAAAACAAATCTATTTCCATACCTGATGATGTCTGTATGAACAGATGAAAGCTTGTAAAAAAGTAAAAAATGACCTTATGAAACTGTATATATATACAATTTGTACTTTATTTTTGTAATGTATTCCTTGTGCAGACTAACAAACACACGACACAAAATCTCTCAGATATTAAATTATTCTTTATTCAATAACGACCTTGTTTAATTAATGTTGACGACTTTGACGTTGACGTGGCTTTAAAAGATTACTCAGAACATTGATTCTTTTATTCACGAGGATATGTAAGATTTTTTTCTCTTTCATTTGGTGAGCTTATATATATATCCCTCATTTTTTTTTCCCACGCGCGCTCATACCAAGCAAAGCTTGGTGGTCTACATCTTTACATTTCAGGGGGAAGCACTAATATATTCTGTGAAACGCTTATTTGCACATGAGAATAAATTTAGAGGTCAACCCGCCAATGCCCATGGCTTCTCTGACACTCTGATATAACGAGGAGTATTTGGCTAATCGCAAATGATTATACTTTATATTAAATATTCCTTATTGACAATAAATTCGATTCGAACTATGTAATCCTGATAGGCATAAATCAAGTACTACATATGGGATTTATTGCATTACTTGAACTAAATAATTTTTTAAATTTTCCTGCCGACTTCTGGCGATCATGACTATCCAGAATTGCTTGTCGTCTGTAAATCTTTTTAAAATGGGTCTTTCTTCTATATCTCCTAATCTCTATTCTGTCAACCATTTATACAAGCTCATTAGGTAAGACATGTCTAGTTTTCCCTCTTTCTTTTACCTTCAATAAGTCCACGTGAGTGTCAAATTTTCAAGATCACTTCCTTATCATTTATCCTAAACGTCTAACCTGAGGCTGCATATAAGTGTTCTTTTTAATATCTGTCTATATCTCTGGGATTAGGTATTATGATTATTTACATTATTCGGGCTGTTAGCCAGAACTTCATTGTAAGCTTCAGGTGATTGGAATTTCGAACCAAACGCTTTGTCTCGTTCACCGGAGTAGGTTGTTCTCCAGGGAAATACCTGAGACATCCAGAAGAGGCATGGCACGTGAAACAGGAACAATGTACCCCAGTAGACAAAAAAGGGGTTGAAAAGTGCAAACCCCCTGAAGAACGCCTGAGTGTACAACTGTCGAAACGCTGTGAATATATCAGTAAAGATGAGGATAACAGGCAGTCTATTTTAAATACATGTTTTTTTTTTTGTTTTTTTTTTCTACAAAAATTCGTTGTGGTTCACGTGTTTAAGGCATAGTATTCTCATTCTGTATCGTTCTGTCGAACTACATTACTTTTCCTCCAAGTCCATTTTTCATTAGGGCCGGGATTGTCTCTCATTTCCTGCCATAGAGTAAGACCGATATTGCATGACAGTTCATTAAACTATTCGTTATTTCTAAAGACATTATCTTGTTCCTTAACGCTGTGGTGAGCTTTTGGAAGTAACCTGTCACTATCCCAATGCGTCTTCGGAATTCATACTCACCTTTTCCGTATACGGTAAAAAAAGTCCTTATATATTAACATTTTTCTATTTGTTTAATTTTGGCATGACCAATTTTTAATTCGATATTTGGGCTCCGTTAATTTTTTTCTATTTTATCCTAGCCGACTACTAACTGAACCGACTGTGCTTTCGAAACAACGCGCTGTTTGACATATGTATATATTCGAGGAAGTAATACATAACGTGAAAATCATGCTCATTTCTCATGATCCTATTTTCCCTGACAAAGTATATCTAACCGAAACGTCTACAGATAACATTTGGGTTTTCTTCCTATTAAGAACCAGTTGAAACTTCTTTTTTTCCCCACTTGAAATTCAATCTGCAGAAATGATGCATCTGTTGCGTAAAATTAATCAAACTAGTGTGTGTAACTTTTAATAAATTTGCCTCTGTCCAATTAATTAACATAGTTTGGCGTGTCAATAATAAAACAACCAATGGTAGAATAAGAAATATATCAATAGTCTCTTGGTGTTTTAATTTGAAAACAAATATTCTTTCAGCTGACAGTTGAAAGAAATATCTGACAGTGGCTTCCACAGACATGACGCAGTCCACGCCTGTCAGGATTAATTTCGCTTGACCTCCGAAATTGTCAGTTTCTAATTAATCACCTTTGTAAATTTATTAGACATAATACATTATACATATATACACAACGTTTGTACAGATAAAATTGTCGTGTTGTACGCGGAAAAGCTGCGCTGATAGTGGCATATTTTAATAGGAAATTGCTATACTGATTAGAAGGAATAATTTGAATTCCATCTCTTGAAAAGGAATTATTTCTATAAGATGCTGTATTAATAATCGAATACTAGTCGTAGAGTTAGGTTAAGCGATAAACTATCTATCTATCTATCTATCTATCTATCTATCTATCTATCTATCTATCCACACAAACACATATATATGTATGTTTTTGTATGTGTGTGTTTATGTTTGTATGAACTTTGTATAGGAATCCCATTATATATTTAACTAATAGATTTTATGACTTTACAAGGTATTTTAATGAATACCCAGATTTAAATAGACGATCTGCTTATTTATTAAACAGTATGTTTACTTATTTACGTCTACAGACCTGAGTAATAGTGAAGTCATATTGACGGAGAATATGTGTTCTCTGGCAGGAATTCGAATCTGCGTCCATTTTTAACTGAAGAAACATTTGCTAGATCCGATTTATTCCAGAACGACGCAACCCTGGAGTGTGTCGCTGATCAAGAAAAATCGAAATTGTTTTATAGATGCAAATATTTTCCAGATTCACGACAGTTCATATCTGCAGAGTTCGTATCCAAACGTAAACAAGTCAATTTCTAAAGAAGTAATGGATTGTTTATTATTTTTTAATCAGCCAGATTTAATAATCGTAATTTTAGTGTATATTAATATATTTTAGCAAAAAAAGTAATATATTAGAAGACGTACTGTTTAATGAATGAAGGAGCAGCTACTTGCTTATGAGCATACACTAAATAAAATAATATTTAAAGTGATATATATATATATATATATATATATATATATATATATATATATATATATATATATATATATATATATATAATATAATTATTTTGAAAATATGTCTCCATCGTGACACAGAAATTACGATGTTTCGAAACCGAAACTTAAAGTTTAAAATTTAACATGAAACATAAAATTCGGAGATTGATTCCATTTTCAAGCGAAAAGAAAAAAAATAGATTTAGTCTATTTTTAAGTTAGGTTGGTAGTATTAAGTGGATTCCATTTTTTTTATTAAGGAGGAGATGGCTTTTTAAGAATTTAGAAAGCCGGTGTATCTTTGTATTATAAATTTAAAGTCGATTAAGTTAGGTGGGGTTTTAAGATTTCTGTCAAGCTACATTGATTTTCTTTTCAAACTCTCAAACTATTACTGTCTGGTTCTTTCCTATCATTTGAATATATATATATATATATATATATATATATATATATATATATATATATATATATTACGATTAAACGTGCAATCAATTTACAAATTCATGATTTAATTGGCGAGAAATCCATCGTTGTCCTCTTATTACTAAGAGAAAAAACAAGAACAACATCTATTCTATACCTGAAGATGTCTGTAGGAACAGACGAAAGCTTGTAGTAAAAATAAGAACTAATACGGCAGAAATTTATAGAAACAAGGATCATTTCATTCATAACGGATTCGGAGGTTTTTGTATATTATTTGAATTGTTTGCGACGATGGATTTCTCGCCAATTAAATCATTAACCTTTGCATTTGTTTTTGTGTAATTCATGAATATATATATATATATATATATATATATATATATATATATATATATACGTTTCGCTTTCTTAAAGCCTGGCTTCTGGACTTAACCTGGTTTATTTCTCTATTTCTTGTAAATTAAAGAAAAACAAACAACAAAAATTACACGAACATGAATCACTTGAAGTATGTTGCTTAACATCAAACATTAATTACTAAAATAGTTTGGATTTAGTTTTAAATTTATAAAACATTGACCAGGTTCAGGATAAATTTTCCTACACATGGAACAGTGGATAAATGTGTTAGTTAGATCCAGTGACAGAAACCAAAGAGTGTGAGTTCAATACCTGGTTAAGGCGGTGGAGAACTCGGAAAGCGGAATTAACAGGAGATAACTGATAACTGACATCCATTAGACATGGCACGTAGAACTAGAACAGTCTACACCAGCGAGCGAAATAAAGGACTCAGTTCGTCTTTCCAACCACCTGAAGAAAACCGGAGCGTACAACGGCCGTAACGTTATGATAAACATGGCAACAAACATGAGGATATTAGTCCGAATAATGTAAATAGTATGCATATTACCTCATCTCAGAAATCTAGACAGATACTGAGGAAATTCGGTTAAAAAATATAGATCCAGTTTAATAACTGGTTTAATTAGCTGAGGCCCTTGCTCTCCAACAATGCAGAAAGAATTTACGTAGATAAACATCACTTAATAAGTTATCATTTAGTTATATTTTAATTTAAAATTAAACAAAGACTAATATTATTATCTTTTTTTTTCTTTCTGTTTATATAATCCCTTAGTGGAGTTTAACGTTACGTACACGTAGAGAAAGTTAACTAAAATATGCATTCCGTTTGCACAGGTTTTGTTATCCTGTATTTATAATAAATGAAAATTGTTCTTAATTTCTTCACGTTCATTCCCTTCTGAAAATGAACATAGCAGCAATTATTATTATTATTATTATTATTATTATTATTATTATTATTATTTTCTTTTGATTTGTGGTGTGTACACATTTCTTTCCGGGTCCCGCCCAGAGAACTAAGTTTAGAAATAGCATTTACACTGACAAACTAAAAAGAAAAAAAGGCACACACACACAGAGACATATTTTACATATATAAAGCCCTTCGTATGGTGTGGGCCGTATTCGTAAGAACAATTTTTTGTATCTCTTTAAGGCATAGGTTTCCAGAAATTCCTTCAATGAGTCTTCTGGAATCTTTTCCAAATAATCCCAGGGCTCCAATTTCAACAGGGATTGTGGTTGTTCCCATGTGCCATAGTTTTGAGATTTCGATTTCAATGTCCTTGTATTTTGATAGCTTTTTGAAGATCTTCAAAGATACATTGCAGTCTGCAGGGACTGTCATATCAATAAGGAAGCTTTTTTTTCTTTGCCGTCTCTAATAACAATTATTATTATTATTCCTTCGTGATGTGTGTGCTGTACTCGTGAGTACATTTTTTTTATTCCTATCACACTTAGGCTACTCGGAATGCGATCATTCAATCTACCGGATCCTTTTCCAATTAATCAATCTCAGGTCTCGAACAACATCGGAAGTTATTATTGTTCTTTTGAGATTTCTACTTGAAAATCTTTGTATTTTTAGAGTTTTTTGAAGATCTTCAAAGATACATTACAATCTGCAGGGACTGCCTTGTCTATAAGAAAGCACACGCTGTATTTGCGCCCTTTTATCGCGATGTCTGGGCGATTAGTTTTGATCCGTCTGTGTATGGTTTTCGCCTCCTCCAGATAAAATCGACAATCACCTTCCTGAAAAATCCATCATGGTGAGATTCGAACCCCGCATTTCATGATCAGAACGTGAACGTTCTAACCATTCAGCCACGTATCATATGCTTCAATCTATTGCACTAGAAAACACACTTTTGCTTGGAAGAGAGCCAACAGTTTTACTAAACATCCTAAAATTAATACTAGTCCATGTACAGGTTTAGAAGAAATTGATAATATTTTAGAGGAACATCCAAATTACATTCACACATATACTACTGGCTCAATCAACTCTTGATGATATAACAATCAAAGAAAGCCTCCCTAACAAATACTGTATTTTAGTGCTTTGCCTATACCAATAGAATTCATGCCAGCAAATTTGGTTTGGTTTGGTTTCTTTTACGGCATATCAGCCTCAATGGGTTATTTAATGCCGACAAAATTTTTATTGTTGGAAATATGTTTCTTCAAAAATCTATTTCTGGGAATATTTTCCTTGAATAAATCTATAGCTGGTCATATTTTTTTCAAATAATGTATAACTGTTTGTATTGCTGGTATTTTTTTAAGTATTACTGATGATCATTTTTCTTTTAAAAATTATTCGTGGTAATAATTTGTTTATTACAATGTATTTCTCGTATTAAAACTTATTTTTACACAAGTTTCGGTGTTAACTATTTGCCAAAAGATGGGACCCTAACAGATGCTATCACCCCTGCTCAGGATGGACCTAGAAACACCAGCAATTAAGAGGTGGTTCCACGCTTCTCAGAACTTACTGATCAGAGGCCTCGCTGTTGGACATAGTTTATCGTCTTACCCAGAAATCGGATGTAGTTTGACGTCATACCCAAGACGATCATACCAGTCAAGGAACTGGACATTATCATAGTTTTTCTCAGATTCACTGTTCGTGCGTACATCAGTGAAAAACAAAAAACGCAAACAGTCCATTGTTAGTTAAATTACTAAACAGGGTCAATCACCTATGCAATAAAATAAAACTTGTCTTCTGTTGGATATCTAGCCGTTCTTTGTATACTCGGGAATATAATAGCTGACATAGCAGCAAATGAAGCACAAAAAAAGAAATATTTCAAATTTGAAAAACCCCTGTATAACTTAAAAAAATACAATAAAACAAAAACAACTATAAAATCATACATTCTAAACAAGTCTCAAGACATCGAAATATCAACAAAAATTAAAATGAGTCCAGGATAATGATATTATGGCCGTAGACTTTCTCGGGAGGATGAAGTCGTCTTATCAAAAATTCATATGATCAATTACACAGTTCTCCTAAAAAATGAACATCCTCCTGTATGCGCAACATGCCTGGAGGGATTTGCGGTAAAACATATTCTGATTGTAGTGACCTTGCCTCCATACATAAACGTTCTTATGATATAAATAGTTTAGAGGGCCTATTAAAGAAGATAAAAGTAAGGAATAGTCTTGCTTATTTGAAGGAGGTTTGTATACATAACATATTGCACTAAACAACTCCATTCTCGAGGCAAAATTGCTGAGTGATGGAAGCCAAATATTTGTTTACAATTTCTATATTTGATACCAATATTTTAGTCATTAAATAACCGTCAGAGTAATTGTTAAAACAGAAAATCCATCATTCAATCCTGTGTCAGTCTTGTCTTCAGTATGTCTTGTGAAAGCTAAATTTTCTAAGCCCATTTTCCTCATTATGTACGCTAGAAAATTTTAATGTTTTCTGGTGTTACGTGTAAGTGTCCATTTCGTTACCATTTTCTCTCAAACATCGACGTTGCTCACATGTTCAGTCCAGATTATTCTCAGCATCCTTCTGTTGAACAACATTGCTTTTGCCCCAAGTCTCCTTTGCATCTGTGAGGAG